CTCGAGAAGATTGCCTTTATCCGCGAGACGCACTATGGCGGCTTTTACGACTTCATCCCTGATCTTGCCATGGCCGATACGGCGTACACGAACATTGCCCTGCCCGCACACACGGACAACACATACTTCAGTGACCCGGCGGGCCTACAGGCGTTCCACATGCTCTCGCACACGGCCGATCCGGGAGCATCAGAGTCTATTGCTGACCTCGGCGGGCAGTCGCTCCTCGTGGACGGATTCACTGCCGCGCACATTTTGAAAGAGGAAGACGCAGAAGCGGCCGAGGTGCTCCGCACGGTAAATCTCCCCTGGCATGCAAGCGGGAACAAGGGCATCACGATCGCGCCGGACAAGCACTACCCGGTTCTCGAGATAGCGAACTACAAGGAGACGAGCAGGCTGCAGCGGATCAGGTGGAATACTGCCGACCGAGGAGTTGTGCCGTTTTCTAGCTCTGAAAAGTTCTCGGCAGAGGCGTGGTATGCTGCTGCCCGCAAGTTTGACAGCATCCTGCGGAGGAAGGACGTCGAGCACTGGATCCAGCTCAAGCCGGGGACATTACTTGGTTAGTGTTGAGCTTCCTCAGCGCGAGTTTTCCGCCCTTGTGGATGATAACATCTTCTGGAAATGACCGGTCCCACGAACCGAAGCTGACAGCGTTTTTGTAGTTTTCGACAATTGGCGGGTTCTGCACGGTAGAGCTGCATTCACCGGTGTGCGGAGAATGTGCGGAGGTTACAGTGAGTCGGACAGCAGCGGTGCTCTTCACCCATCAAGATTGCTGACATTCTCTACAGTCAACCGCGACGACTTCATTTCGAAATGGAGGAACACCAACTTCTCGCGGCAGGAGATCATGGATCAGATTGTGGGCTGAGTTCGTCAGATGGAACCTAGTTCTGGAACTCCTCCAATACAGGGGAAAGCCGAGAAAATATAGCAGCAACGACTTTGAACACTCTACAGCTTGCAGGCTCATGTTGGCGGTGTGTTGGGACAAGTTGTGATTGTGATGTCGTCATGATTGTCCGACCTCTTTGTGAGAGGCTATAGCTGCACACGGCATCGAGAGGAACATGAACTGTGCCGGCCGTAGTCTCTCGGCCAGCTTGAATGATCCATCAAGGCACAGGAACATTTCGAAGGCCAATGTGCCTCTGCTGCTAGGACTTTCGGACTAAGAGCAAAGGTATCGTTTTGACTTTTGTCCAAGTTGTCGGTCGACGGCTTCCCGGCTAATTGGTGGGGCCGCCGTGACCAGCATTACGTACCTGGGCACTGTTGTTGAGTGAGATTGGTGGGCAGTCTCCTCCCTGTCTTCTCAGGCAAGGAGTCGCAGGCTTTCAAACGGTCGCCGATTTTCTGCATTTTGCGCCATGGCATCCAGGAGAGAGAGCCAGAAGCCGTTGCGGACAACCAGCCTGGAGACCAGTAGGGCGACGAAGAGGTACATCAAGATACAAAATGCTCAGGACGAGCTGCCCCGCGCCAAGGCCGTAGGACGAACGTGGGCCGGGAGGGGCAGCAGAGATGTGTGGATGCTCGCGAGAAACAGGGGCGCCTGTGGGGAAGAGCCTCCACTACCCCTCGGCGAGACACGAGAACCGGAAGTCGTCGCAAGTACTCGGTACCAGCAGAACCCGACCTGCAAGTGCGGTGAAAGTGGCCAACTCTGGCAACCTGCAAGTCCCTGACCAATGACAGCACAGCCGACAGGTCCCTGTAGCTCCCTGACGGTCTGCTCTCTCTAGCGGATCTTGCCTCTGAGCTCCTGTCCTCTGCCCGCTCTCTCCAGCCCGGTCACAGCCTTGGTTGCTACTCTCCGTCCCCCCATCACCTTTGGCCTGCGCCGCCATATCCTGCTCCTCTGATCTCGTGCCCAACAGCCAGGCTCGCTCTGTCACACCGGCTCCAGGCCTAGAGCTCATCTCGACGACGACTTCGCTTGCTAGCATCTTCACCGACACCGCATCGCGACCCGTTGCCACTGTCTGCCACTGCCGCCCCTCGACCGTTGAACCCCTCGCGGCTCACGTCCGCATCCCGCCACCATGGATTCCGAGGAGGGCACCGAGCCTTTCCCTTCGCTCGAGCAGCAAGCCCAGGCCGAAAATGCGGCCCGGCCCCCCAAGCAGAGGAAGCCCCGACCCGAGATCGACTTTACCATCCACACCATGGAAGATGGCACCCAGGTTAATACCCAGGAGCGCGTCTGCAAAGGTACACCATCATCTCCCATTGTCTAGGAGGCCGCCCGCCACTGCTGCTCCTGACGATACGTGCCTCATCGCGATATTAGCATGTCACTCCTGCCGCGGCCAGGCTCGCTGCGAGCTTAGGCAGGAGTCCTAGCCCCGTCTGCTTAGGGCTGTGCCTGCCCCCGCGAGACTGTACATCAAGCGGCGTATGAGGCTGTGCGACATTGATTCTGCGCTTGGGAGACTGACCTAGCTAACGAGACTTTCTCTGCCAACAGACGTGCAAGCGCCAGCCATGTACAAGCCCACAGATGAGCAGTTCTTCACCGACGAAACGCACACCAAGCCAGACATAGCGTTCCTGAAGCAGCACTTCTACCGCGAGGGTCGCCTGACCGAGGAGCAGGCCTTGTGGATCCTCAAGACAGGCACAGAAGTCCTGCGCCAGGAGCCCAACCTGCTCGAGATGGATGCACCAATCACCGTGTGTGGCGATGTCCACGGCCAGTACTACGACCTAATGAAGCTCTTCGAGGTTGGCGGCGACCCGGCGGAGACTCGGTACCTCTTCCTCGGCGACTACGTCGATCGCGGATACTTTAGCATCGAATGTGTCCTGTACCTGTGGTGTCTCAAGATCCACTACCCCAAGACGCTATGGCTGCTCCGTGGAAACCACGAGTGTCGCCACTTGACCGATTACTTTACCTTCAAGCTCGAGTGCAAGCACAAGTACTCCGAGACCATTTACGACGCCTGTATGGAATCGTTCTGCTCCCTGCCGCTCGCAGCTGTTATGAACAAGCAGTTCCTTTGTATTCACGGAGGTCTCAGCCCTGAGCTTCACACTCTGGACGATATCAGAAATGTGAGTACCTGGACATGCCAACCCGGTCCTACCCAGAGCTGACACATGACGTAGATCGATCGCTTCCGCGAGCCCCCGACCCAGGGTCTCATGTGCGATCTCCTCTGGGCCGACCCGCTCGAGGACTTTGGTCAGGAGAAGACGAATGAGTTCTTTATGCACAACCACGTCCGCGGTTGTTCGTACTTTTTCTCATATCCGGCGGCCTGCTCCTTCCTGGAGAAGAACAACCTGCTGTCCATCATCCGTGCCCACGAGGCCCAGGATGCAGGCTACCGCATGTACCGCAAGACACGTACGACGGGATTCCCAAGTGTCATGACCATCTTCTCGGCCCCCAACTATCTGGATGTCTACAATAACAAGGCAGCTGTGCTCAAGTACGAGAACAACGTTATGAACATTAGACAGTTCAACTGCACACCGCACCCGTACTGGCTGCCCAACTTTATGGACGTCTTCACCTGGTCGCTGCCCTTCGTCGGCGAGAAGATCACCGACATGCTCATTGCCATCCTCCACACATGCTCCGAGGAGGAGTTGCAGCAAGATACGCCCATGAGCGCCTCTTCGTCAGGGCCTGTGTCGCCGCCACTCTCCAGCTCATCGTCCGCTACCAACCCCTACAACGATCCCGAGTCTCTCGAGTACAGGCGACGGGCGCTCAAGAACAAGATTCTCGCTATCGGCCGCATGTCCCGCGTGTTTGGCGTGCTGCGCGAGGAGTCCGAGAAGATCGCCGAGTTCAAGACCGTTTCTGGCGGCCGCTTGCCAGCTGGAACGCTCATGCTCGGCTCCGAAGGTATCAAGAGCGCCATTACCAACTTCGAGGACGCCCGCAAGGTCGATATCCAGAACGAGAAGCTGCCTCCTAGCCACGAAGAGGTGGAGCGGCACCGCGCTGAGGAACACCAGAACGCCCTAGAAAAGGCCACTCGGGAGGCAGACAACGACAAGAAGCTACAGACTCTTTCTCGGCGGTTGAGCCAGTCGTAAGTTCATTATCATCAAGGTTACTTGTTGCAATAAACCAACCAGAAAACAGGGAGCGGGGTCCTCGTCAGCCGTAGAACGATGATTCTTTGATTCAGTCATGAACGCCCAGACCTGGACGAGGACACCAAAAGGACGGATACCGGTAATCAGGACCTGTGACTGGTGTGCCGCGCGTACACACGATTGATTGCTTGGCGCAGGACTATGGTCATTTACATGCAGTAGTGGTTGTATATCTCGCACGGTGGCAAGTGGATTCTGGCTCCGGGGAGAGTAGCCGTACGATGTAACCGATGAAACTCACAGGATACAGCCAGTATTTGCGCCCGGCTTCTCGAGGAATATTGACTGGAAGATGAGCACTATGCCCGACTCTTTCGTGGCTCGTGTTGCTGGAAAGAGTTCACCCCGAGACTGTCTATAATGTCTGCGGTGCTTGTCGGATCAGAGATACTCATAGTCAAACTTCGAGCTTGAGCCAACGGATACAACGATTCAAATCTGGGATCGCTCTCCGCGACCATGTAAAGCTGAGGCACATGCGGTTTATTCTCCCGAGGAAACCGGACCATCGCGTGAAGTCAGCCTCCAACGGGGTCCTTGTGTGCCGCAGGTAAGACCGGATATGTGGAGTGGTTTTTTTTGGTAGTTGTCTCGAGTCTTTGCTGTGCGGTTTACATGCATAATGTACTTTTGAACAAGGTTCTTGCACCGAGAAATCAAAACGGTGCGCAAGACCAGGGAGCTGACAGGCCTTTCCTTTTGCCTCACTTGCCCGCGGGGGTGTCAAAGTTGCTCTCAAAGTCACTTGGACTCTGTTTGCTGCTGCCGGGACCTCGAGCAAGATGACAAGAACGGGCAGGCGCAACAAGCATCTTTCGATCTCCCCTTTTGATCAATATGAACAGTAATATGTACTCAGTTCTTCAACAAACACCGGTGAGATGGCCGAGTTGGTTATGGCGCCAGGTTAAGGTCAACCTTAACAAGAGTTAATTATCCTGGTGGGGCAACCCTCATGGGTTCAAATCCCATTCTCATCAACATTTTTTGTCGTGCGTCCCTTGTGGGGGGCGACCATCGTCGCATATATCTGCGAACCTTTTTTTCTTTTCTTCGTTGCAAAGCTCTTAGTTTGATGCTGTCGTGATGTGTGTAACATATCTTGATGGGCCTGTGAACGTCCCTGGTGTTGGATTCGTACTTTCCTTTTTTGATCTTTGTCTGGACTCTGAGTCGAGAAGCTGCCTTGCTTCATAACTTTCCGACCTCGGACGATGAATACTCTGTCTCGTGCGTGCTCAGCAGAGGCACCAAACCGCTTGGCTCCATGGACATGCGCGGACGAGTGTGTAGAGGAGGTGGGTTACGCGGATATCGTGAAGGGTATCTTTGTTATTACTGTTACTTGTCCGACTTGCATAGATGTGTACACTTGTAACGCCTTTTCCCACCTCGTCCAGTACCACCCCCTTTTTCTCGGTGTCAGCTCGCCCATCTATCCATTCATCTATCACGCCTTCCGCTTCCCCTTGGCCCCGGCCCTGGGCTCCCGCCTGCGCTCCCAGATCTGCATGTACGACTCGCCGAGGTACAGCAGCTCCCTCTGCGCGGGCTCGACAAACAGGTCCTGGCACACGACCCACGAGTCGGTCGCCTTGTCGCGCAGCTGGGCCTTCCAGGTCCTGCGCTCCTCGCCCGTGTCGCCGACGTCCTCCTTGGCGCGGACCGCCTCGTGCACCACGTTGGCCACGAGGTCGTACATGATGGGCTCGCCGGGCGGCGTCGCGGCGGCGGGGCTGGGCTCCACGTACGGCGCCATGTCGAGCCCGACGCGCGCGTCAAACGTGACAATGGTCGGGTTGCGCTCGGCGACGAACTTGTTGGTCGAGAAGCGCTTGATGTGGAAGACGAGGTATGGGGGCAGGGGGTGCACGAGGCGGTAGCGCTTGCGCTGCGCGAGGTGCTCCTGCGCCTTTACGCCGTCGTATTTTGACAGGATCGTTGTCAGGGGCACCTGCGGGATGATGTTGCGCTCGAGCTCGTCCTGGAAGAGCGGCGTCGCGGGCAGGTCCAGCGTCAGCAGCATGAACCGGCTCGTCTCGGATTTCACCTCGGCCGCCTCTTCGAACCGCAGCCGGTCGTTGGCGTCGGCCTTAGCCGTGATGGCCTGCGACTCGACCTTGAGCTTGCCCTGGAAGATGCGCTGGATCATGCTGCTCCCAGGCTTGGTCTTGCTGCCGCCCAGGCCGAGGTGCAGGTTGTTGAGGAACCACGAGAGGAACTCGACGGGGTCGGACTGCGTGGTCAGGGTGAAGCGCTTGTTGGACAGCAGCGCGATCTCCTGCAGCAGCTCGTGCGGAGAGACGTGGTTCTTGAACGCGCGCGGGTTCCAGATCTTGCGGAACAAGATGCTGCACCGGCGCACCAGCTCCGTCCGCGACGACAGGTCCTCGAGCAGCAAGAAGTTGCGCAGCGGCGCGACGTGCGAGAGCGCCTGCACCACGACGTTCAGGTAGTCGTTCTCCTTGATGTTGTTCATCCCCACGTACCCCGGGCGGTACTCCCTGCCGCCGCCAAACGTGTAGGCCGTCCGCGGCCGCCGGTCGAGCTCCATGACCTCGTCGCGCGTGTACCGCGGGTCCGAGACGTACTTGATGTCGTCGAGCGACTTGCTCTTGACCTCGTAGCCCTCGGGCAGCACATACACCTTTTGCGTCTGCATGTTGATGAAGACGTGGTGGCCCTCCTCGAGCGCGTGGAAGTAGGCGTGCGACTTGGGACCTCTGCCCTGGAAGTACTTGCCGCACACGAGGCACGCGTACACGTTGATGTTGGACAGGCTTATTGAGCACAGCTTCTCAAAGTCAAAGTCGAGCACACTGCGGTCGATTGTGTCGAGGTAGAGGTCGTCGTAGCCTGCCGTCGGCGCGGCCTGGCGTATCGGCGCCCTCGTGGGCTCTTCCATGTCTTCGTCGCCGTCGCCGTCTGCCATTGTCACTTCTCCCGTGTGACGTGACTCTGTGTGGTTGTTGCTGTCCTGCTCCCCGTGGTTGACGCCATTGCCAAAGTGCCCCCTATCGGGCGTCGTCGAGCCTTCTAGGCTGTTGTCGTCCAACCGCGAGCGCTTCGAGGCGGGGGAGCCAATGTCGAGAAGCTCGCCGAGCGCTTCGGACGCGGGACGCTTCGACATGGCTGCCGCTGTGAGGGTGTCTTGGCTCGTTGTGTATGTTCTCGTGGCGCGCGCTGGTGATCGATATGTCGTCTAGATGCGGACTCTTATTGGCTAGTCACGGACAGTCGCTGCCGTGTAATCATCCGAATTTGAGGCGCGTACGGTGGTGGTGCTGGTCGTGGGGTTCTAGAAGCTAGAAGTCGCTGCAATGACGAAAGCTCAAAAAGTTCAGGTCGAGAGCTCGAGTGAGGCCTACGCGAAAAGTGGGGCTCGTAGTTCACTGTGTTGCGGCAAGCATCAAAGTCGACTATGGCTCTGTTTGCTAGATCATGCCGTATAGATAATTAGTGCTTTTTTCAAAAGCGATAAATCAATGTTCTAAATAAATATTCGAGCAGCGAGCTGGTCGGTTTGGGGTATCATGTTTCGCTGGTCTCATAAAATCAAAAGTCGTACAACCCTCCAAATGCCTTCCGCTCAGTCGTCTCCCTCGACCAACATGCTAATCACTTTGCAACCTGCTTCAATTTGGACCCCTTCTTCATAGGCGTCGTGTCCCCAAATGGCGTCTTCGGCGTCGCCCCGCCCCTGTTCCCAATCTTGCTCCAGAGCCTCTGCGCAGCCGGCGTGAAACTACTGCTCCCGCCGACCCGCGGACTGCTCGGGAACTTTGGCACGGGGGTCTTATCCACCTTGCCCGTCAGACCAATCGCGGATGAGCTCTTTCGAGACTGATGTATTTTGTCCACCATGCGATAGTGCAGGGCCTCACGGCGTGGCTGCGCCTTGATCATGAATGGGTTCGGCGAGGCGTCGCCTGGGCCGAGATCGATCTTTGGCGGCGGCGGCGGCTGCGCCGAGTTGTGCACCGGCTCCTCGTCGTCCACAAATGCATAACCATTTACCCGGGGAGTCTCGCTGCCAGCCGTTGTCGATGTGCTGCCTCGCGGCTCGGTCCGCTTGCCGGCAATCGCATCCCGCATGGCCGAGAGTGACGGCGATGGTGGCACCGACTCTCCCGTGCTAACTTCTGGCTGTGGGAGCCTCGTGCTCTGGTAGCTGATGGCCCGCGGCGGCGCGTGAGACTCTGACTCGGCCTTCTGGAAAGTCGTGACCGCAACGCTGTCCTCGACGCCCGCCGGCGCAAACATGAGCGCGTTGTCCGGTGCAGACTTCCACGTGTCACACTGCGCGGGCCGTTCGTCCCTGTCGCGGATCGCGAGGCGGTCCCTCCGGAACCCGTCGTCGCCCAGGCTGCCGCGTGACTCGAGGAGCCGGGCCTCGACCTCGCGCTGCTTGAGCTGCATCTTGGACGGCAGCTTGTTGCCCGCCCACAGCCAGGCGTACTTCTCAGCCTTTTTCGAGTTCTGCCGGTCGAGTAGCTTGTAGAAGCTCTCGTTGTCTTCGCTTGTGTATTTTGCCTGGAACGCACCGAGGCTCATGTCGGTGTCAACCTCGGGCGCCCGCTCCGAACCTGTAGTCGTCGTCGAGGTCGCTATGGTGGTGGTTGATGTCGCAACCGACACCACGGACGCCGGCGTGTCACCCGCAAACGTCCTCGGCGTCTGCGACGCCGCTCCAGGCGTTGCGAGAAGAGACGTCCCTGTACCGCGGCCGCGCCCGTTCCCCCTTCCCTTCCTCCTTCCAGGCGTCATGACATGCTGCAACCTCCTGCCGGCGCTCGCGATCCACGCCGTGTCCTTGGAGTCAAGCGCGTCGAGGTACTCGTGCTGCGTCTCGCTCTCGAGCAGGCCCGGGAAGAAGTCGCGCGCGATGATGTGCGAGAGCGCCTCAGTGTAACTATCCTCGTCAATGACAGTCCTAGGCCGCTTGATCCGCTTCGTCGGCGGCGGCGGCGGCATGAGGGCGAGATCGGTGGCGCGCTTTCGCACGATGGCGGCGGAGGACGGCGCAGGACTGCTGCTGCTGCTGCCGCTTGGGCCTGCGCCTGCACTCGACATGTTGTAGCCCAAAGAAGTATTTGTGGGTATTTAAATGCTTCCGGGTGCAGCTGGGCGTTTGTGGCAAGTTGTCGTGGTTTGTGTCGAAATTTGTAGTGAAGATGCGGATGACGACAGTTGTAGTGTGTGCATAAGCTGTGCATTTGCCCTTCCGCGCCGTCACCAAAAGTCAGCTGGAGCAGATGGCAGGCGCCAACCACCACCCACCCCACTGTGTCTTGGCAGGCAGGGTATCGGACAGGCCCTTGACAACCTTAATTCGCAATGTCTAGAAACTTTTTTATTTTTCAGCCTCATTAGATTGCCATCACTTGATACTATTTACTGCCTTGAAGCTTATTCTTCCTCGTCTCATCCTTATTTATAAACCCTACCTTCGAGGTATCGGATAGCTAAGTGAGCGCGAAGCTTAAACACATCCCGTTCGCATTGCATACAAGTACATTAGCGGCACACTCGCCCGTCTCCCCAATAACCACAGCACCAGCTTAATACTATGTTCCCTATTTCCATCGAAATATGTCATGATTAAGTTGTAGTTTTCAAGCAGGCTTATACACACTCGGAGAAAATTTCCCCGAACATAAGGTCAGAGAACAAGCCTCCCTGCACTGTCCTGTAGCTCAGACAAGCAATTATTATCACTTGGTGGCAAGTGCAAAGGCTCTGTTGCTATGAAAGACGAATCATGTTTCGAGAAAACTAATCAACCATTGATATGTATCAAACAATTGTGTTGGGAAGCCATGTGGGTATGCTTCAGAAGGGCTATGGCATGTGGAAATACGACCAATGGTGGTGTGGGGAGACGCGGAACCTTGAAGTACTACGTGAGCTCAAATTGGACGGCGACGGCACCACCAAGCATACCGGTTACGTGGACTGAAGCCCACCCAAGACAAAGGGC